CCTCAGGGGCATGCCATAGGTACGCTACGTTCGACTCCAATAAGAATTTCGGACAGTTAACTCTGGTATGCAGCATTTTAATGTTAGGGCTAGAAATGAGTTTTTCGCCACATAAGGCGAAGCATTAAGCACGTCGGCGTTTGTAATGGGTAATGGATTACCTTCAGACAACGGAGTGTCTGCATTGAACAGGGTTGAAGATCGCCGGCAGTTGCGTCACCATCGACCACTGATATTCGTCGAAGGGAATCTAGCTCCAAAAGTCGAGTTTGCAGAGCCTCAAAGGTGTCTCCCAGTTTTCCCAATGGATCCAGAGCATCAAAACACCGCAGAAGGAGATCATCTAGACAACCAAGAAGGCGTTCCACGCCGTCACGGCCGCCCAGGTCCCGGCTGACCTCGGGGTCCTCCGGGTGACGGGGCAGTGCTGAGCGAATAGCCAGCAGTCTTCCGAGACAGTCAGCAGCCGATGACTGGCTATTACAAGGAGAAGAATAGTGCACAGGCACAGTCAACCAAATGAAAAAAAGAACAACGTTTCAGGGTTAGACAACCAAGAACGCGGGGCGACAGAGAGAAACGGTGGCTGGTAGATGTCAACTTACAGACTTTTGCAATCGTTTGAATCCCCAAAGGTTGGAGTCTCCACCTTGTCTGCTGTGGCGCAGTGAGATTGCGCTTTCCAGAGGTAATCGCTCAGCCGTGCAAACATGGTTCTACGCGGCAGGTCGAAGAGGCTCTGGCGAAGGCCGCGCCTGTGAGACAGTCCGAGGCGCATGTCCACGTCATCCAACTTGTTAAGAACATCTGCCGGGAGGCCCTCCTCTACGTCCTCGGTAAACATACTTAGAAGCGCATCCTCACCCATCTCGTAATCGGACCCTAGTTCAGCCAGCCTAATCAAAAAAGGTACGGAAGAATAGGGCGTTAGTGGAGCAGATTGAGCAAAAGGTGTGTTCAGATGGATGGTGACGGAGGAGGAGCACTTACTGAGCCCCCGTTGAACTTAGACTACGACGACCAGAACAAAGACGGAACCATTCCACGAGGGCCAACTTCTTGTTCTGTTGAAGAGCAGTGTACCTGCTGCGCCATTCCTTTGCCTTAGCCAAGTCCTCAGACGAAATCTTGGAGGCATCAGCAGTAGCCTGTTGGCTGGCAGTCGGACCTTGGAGGCCCTTCAACAGGACGGCCAGGTGCTTGTGAGGGGGCGAGTCAGCATCAAGCTGTTGGGTGGCTCGCGAAAGCTCAGTAACACGGCAGCTCCAGTTGTCCAGACAATCCCGAAGCTGGTTGATCCAGGAGAGACAAGGAGCCTCTGTCGCCACATGCGTCGCGTGTTGTGATAGTCTGACGATTAGTTTTGGCAGTCGCCTACAAAGTAGTCAGGTAGAAGAACGTGCCATAACAAGATACTACCGGGGCGGGGGGGTTCAGGGAATAAGCCAATCATAGGCGACTTACCTGACATTGTTGGGAAGGGCGGAAGTTAATGAAAGTTGTGACAACCATTGTGCCATTTGAGATGGAGGAAGGAGAGAAGATAGGGGTTTAGCATCGAGAGCCAGACTGAGAGTCTCAGCCAGAGGCGGGCAGAGGGGTGAGTCGATGCTGACGGTGATTGCGGACTCGAAGAAAGGTTTAACCGACTGACGTAGAACAGTCTCCCAGGAGGCCACCTGATATGAAGCAAATACGCAAGAGAACGAGACAAATAATCGGTTTAAAAAGTGAAATAGTCTACATAAGGAACGCGACAGCTGATTTAAGAGGCAATGTTAACCCGTGCTAACACCGCTTACAGTTTAGTATCTTGATTGAAATAGTAATCAATGAATGAATGTACCCTCTGCGGTATGTATCTGCGACCCTTCGGCAAAATGTTGAGTACTTAGAGACAAACAACTAAAATAGATTATTTTTGTCCGGCAAACTAGTTATGATTGTTTCTTTTCTTCAGAAACGGTATCAATATACTTTTAAACATGGTCATGCGAGGGCATCAGATCTTACGATTGTGGTGGGTAGGGAAGATCTGGATATTACATGTAGTCGGTCTTCCAGAACGTAAACTATAAAATATGACGCCGAACACTGGGACTGGGTCTTTACGGGTGGAGAAAATAATATTTTATCTGCAGCCTTTGCTCAATTCTTCAAAAATAAATGTCCGCAATAATAAT